ATCAGATACAAGGATAACTTTCTGGTTAACAAGGCTTTCTTGTGTGCCAAAATGTTCTTTGTATCATTTCTCTTACCATTATGATCTGCATATACATCTACCGTATTTTTCAGACTATAAGACGCACCTTTTTCCTTCAAAAAAGAGGCTGAAAATCTGGGTGCGTCTTATACGCTGAATGCAGCATTTTTTGCCTCCTGAAATTCTGCCCCCTTCACCAAAATGGCCGTGCATAGTTTGTAGGAGGCTTTCAGAGTGCTCCTGGGGGCTGGGGAGGGCAGAAATGAGTGAAAAACAAGGCTTTTTTTGCTCAATTCCCCCCCCTCCCCGGAGCACTCTACAAGCCTCCTAAGGGCTATTCATGCCCTTACAAAAAACGGGCTCATATTTGCGAAAAATGGGCCATTTTTGGGAGGTTTGCAGAGTGCAAAACCTTTTAAAAAAAAATTTCCTCCTTGAAACCTTACTGCGTCTTATACTCCGAAAAATATGGTAAATATTTATATGTGATGTGCACACACATTTATAATGACTATCTATGTAAATGTGTGTGCGTATAAAGTCATGCATCTGTGCACATGCACCATGTTGAAAATGTAAAATCAATCTCTCCCAGTTTTACGTCCACAAATTCTTCATTTGGGCATTATCCTAGAAAAGAACTTTCAAAAAAAGTTAACAGAATCTTACTTGGGGGAAAAAAGAACTCCCCATAAAAAGCTTTTAAATATTTAATACAAAGATTCCATCATAGTAATTTGTTTCCTAAACAGGTTTGTTGCAATTAATGTAATACCAGGAAGATGTCTCAAGGCACTTGCTGCTTATATTCATTCCTTAAAGGGATGAGATGAATTATTATATTCATTTTGTTTTGGCCTGCAGCCTTTTATTTGTCTGCATTTGCATTGGCAATGCTTCTAAAGCTATAAAGATTTGCAGGTACAAATTTTTTATTTTTGAAATAATGTTCCTGTTATTCTTATTCAGTCAAGTCATTTCCTGAAACAAAGTCATTACTTGACACATCACGATGAATAGGTTTTTTTTTTTGCAAGTATGCTTTTAGTAATGGGATATACAGGTTATTCCTCCAAGGGCATTGGGCTGTGATTTGTGGTCTGGGAACGTTTATTTTATTTTGTGGCACTTCCCTATCAATGTATCTTTTAGAGGTCATTTGTAGCTTCTCATCTGCCGGGTCTTTCTAAGAATCTCTGAACTGGACTAAAGCCAAAAACAGAAGTGGAACATTGCCTGATTAGTGATTGAGTAGATTACTTTCCTTTCTGTGGGTTGTGCTACAATCAGAACTAGATTGGAAATTGGTTTTTCCAGCAATTGAAAAACAACATTGTGATTTGTATAATTGGGGGTAAAAGCATACAGACCATTAGAAATACAGGTATTGATTTACAGCAGTTCATTTAGTGACCGATCAAAGTTGACAACACTGAAAGAAGTTACTTATGGCTGTTTTTCACATTTACGACTGTTGCAGCCATCAACTGTTGTTGATGAAAATTCAGATGTTTGGCAACTGAGTCATATTTATGATGGTTGCACTGCCCTGGAGGCATGTGATCCCTTTTATGACTTACTGACAAGCAAAGTCAATGGGAAAGATTCACTTAATAACAGTGGCAAGAAAGGTGGTAAAATGGGTCAAAATTCACGTAGCAACTGTCTCTCTGAGCAACAGAAATTTTGGGCTCAGTTGTGGTCATAAGTCGAGGACTACCCATTTTATGTTCATCTCAGATGAATCTTTCTATGCCGTGATTGTAATTACTGAAAATGGAAGACTCTTCAGGTTTTAAGAGAATCCTAACAGGACAGAAAAAGAAGAAAACCCCTCCTTTCTAAGCAAAGTGATTTAAAGAATATTATGGTTAATAAGTGCAGTTAAAATGCATGTTGATAGTAGCCTTAAAACATGTTCTTCTGCTGATCTGATTTATGATATTATAATGTTGGACATTACTTTACATGGTTTTTTAAAGAAGGGGATATAAAAATTAATGGAAGGTTCAGAGCTGGAGATAATGTTCCATTGTGGCCAATGCTAGAAGCATGCAAGAGATACTCTCCAGTTTTGCTTTGGTTTGGCTGAACAGGTAAACATTCTTTGAGGCAAGATTAGATAAAGCTTTGATCTGTCATGACTGTCTTATTTTCTTATCCCTTCTAAGATTGATAGATTTAAATGAGGCTTAAAGAAAGCCCCTGTTTCTCATTTTACAAAGAATACCTTACGGGATATACAAATCCTTTTCTTTATTACCTAGTTTTAATTGATAATCAGCATGGGGGTGAAATACTGGTTCCAAAGTGAATGCCTCTGGCATTGAAAACAAGGTTGCTTCAAGATTAGATTAAAAAAAAAAAGAATTGACCTAATATGCGATTTTCATATCCCCGCCAGGGAGAAGACGAAGCTATTACTCTCAAATCTTGCACTCGACGGAAGACTGATTCCATAGAGAAGAGATTCTGCTTTGACGTAGAAGCTGTGGATCGGTGAGTTTATTAATTAATTAAATTTATTCAGAAGCTCGATGTGGCTTGTATAGAACTTCAAGTTGAGTTTGCCTTTTGCCATTCATTAGCCAGTACTATAGAAGCAGAAATACACAACTTTTTCCCCTTCACTAAACCAGGCATGGGCATGGCCAATGCATGACATATCTGGGCCGGGGCCTGCGAGTTTGACAGCCCTGGCCTAGGTTGTATGGTACCGTTTATTTGGTTTGTTTTTGCACATATCCCATAGTTTGTTTCTTTGAGATCTAGCTATACTTTAGAGAGGGGGCTTTCATATTTGGCATCCAGTACGTAACTATTCTATTCATATAAGCATTAGAAAAAAGGGCTGTGCCCTAGAAATCAGAGTTACGATCTTGGGAATAGCTACATGAGGCAACAGTAGAATCAACCTACACTGCCTTCTTCACTAGTGTAAAATGTACAAACAATATATGAAATTGCTTAAATTAGCACAAATTATCATCAATGGATGTTATATATAACTATATTCTATGTAAGTAACATATAGTGACTGCGATAATATATTCTCTTCGAATACATCAAAGATCCAATAGAATTAGCTGTTCATTACAAAACCTGATTAACTGGAATAAAAAAGGAAAAAAAAACCTATGGTGATTTGTTAACTCTGATTTATCTAAAACAGGGATGCTACTTATACATACTCTCTTATTTTCCCCGTGAAACCTGGTTCAATTTTTTTTTCCTTTCCTTGGGAGTTTTATATTGATGTTCTCCTCCAATCCAAGTCTAGTTGCTGATTGCAAACCCCAAACAGTGCAGCCAGTCAACAGTGGAGGATTGAATAAAAAAAATATTCACATAGTTTCTTCTCTCCCAAGGTGGGTAATTCTAGATATATAAAAGGCCTAAAAAGGCAGTAGTAGGTTCTATATTAATTGTTTCAGGGCTCTTTATCATAAGAACTTTCCAGGAACAGAAATGTGAAGGAGATGCTGTATGGCTGAATTTGGTAGAAAGAACAAGATGAACAACAACAACAACAACAACAACAACAACAACAACAACAACAACAACAACAAAGCAGATGTAATTGCCTTGATTTTTTGGAGAGTGAAGGGAGGGAAGATAAATGAGCTTTTCTGGTTTTTACTAAAAACCAGATTAAGCTGCATGATCAACAATTCTAGAGGTGAATAAAAGGTACAAGCCAATTTCTTCAGTGTTATTTTAGCTACAACTGATTCATAGGAAATCAAATTCAAATGATTATTTTTAGTGAATTACACTGGTAGTATTTCTGCTGAAGTATTTACTATATACACATATACTTTCTTAACAATTGCTTAGGAATGGTACTTGAACACCAGTGTAAAAATAATAGGCTCTTTATATTAAGCCAATCCAGCTAACATAAAGTGACTACTATTTCTCCATCAACGTCCACGTTTTATTCAAGGACAATACAACAGTAGTTATATTTGTAGTCCTATAGAAGAAAGTCACAAGAGTTCATCATAAGGAATTTTTACTGCAGCAGTGGAATTTGTCACCCTGTTGAAAACAGAACAAGAATTCATTTTGACATTCTTTGCCAATCATTTTTCTAGCTTCCTGTCATGCATCCAAATGTGCATTGTGTACAAATATGAAAGGGTAAAATGAATAAAAATTGCAAAGAGAAAAGGTGAAGCAAGAGTCAGTGGAATCAGATGAGGAAACAGAGACCACTTGTTTTAATTTCTCTGTTGTCAATTGCATATTGCCAAGATGATAATGCTGTGTGGCATTAAGCAGATGGCATCAATGATGCTTTGTTACCTCTCAGCATTAATAACATAAAATCCTCTTACTTATGCTGTTTCAAAAGACTATAGCTAATGAATCTGTTAGTCATTCTGGGGTCCCATACAGGTATGCTTTGTGCATCATCGCCCATTGTGAGCAGCAGTTAGCCTGCACCACCAAGTAATTCTGCCCCTAGTATCATGTGGGTCAAGTAAATTTGATTTCTTGTGCCCAGCTAGAAAACTCAAAATTACCACAACTCCTAGAACCCAGTGGGATCATGGTTTTATATTGAGTTACATGAACCTATACATGCAAGCCTCAAAACCAAAGAAGTTTGTGTCTGCTGAGTACTTGGATAGGACTGGGAGCTAGTCTATAGACTAAAGGTAAAGGTTTTTTCCTGCCCAACTCTAGGGGGCAGTGTTTCATCTCTCTTTCCTAGCTGAAGAAGTCAGTATTGTCCAAGGACACTTCTGTGCTCATTTGGTCAGCATGACTATATGCCGAGGTGCATGGAATGCTGTTACCTTTCCACCGAAGTGATATCTATTTATCTACTTGGTTTTGCATGCTTTCGAACTGCTAGGTTGGCATAAACTGGGGCAAGAACAGGAGCTCATCCCATCATGCGGTACTTGGGTCTTGAACTGCCAACCTTCTGGTTGACAAACCCAGCATCTTAACTGCTAGGCCATCCTATGTAGATTGACAACAACAAAACAAAATTGGTGGAAGGCAATGGAAATGCCTCTGGTTCTGTTGTCAGAAAACCCTGCATGGATATATGTCCATGAAGTCACAGACAAGCTTAACTTGAAATATATTTTATACATGTATAGATAGTGCATCTCAAGCTCTGTACTGTGGACACCATTTCTGATGAGGTACCGTGTCTTCAAAGGGTTCAATTTCTCATACTTTGCAAGTCAAGACTCCATCAGATCAAATAAGATAATATCACATTAATAAATACATGTTGATTCAGTGTCTGCTTAACAATCTGTAATTTTTAATCATACAGTACCACAAAACTTGAACATATTGTTTCAGTCTCACAAAATTGAATTCTGACCATTTACTAGTTTTTCTTTGCATATCTGACTTTTTGCTTCCGGAGAAATGGTAGTTGCAGCTGTAAGAGAAGTTCTCTGCTTATAATTTTTTTTTTTTTTTTAGTTTTGTACTTGTTTTTTAAAGTTGACAAATTTAAATTTTCTTGTGAATTTATTTTGTCTGATGAAGTGTTAAAAGAGATATGATGAAGCAGGATTAGGTCCTGAACTTGAAAAGTCTTATCATAGCTAAGCATATGACCGAAACTGCATTCATGTTCTCTGTCTGAAGATGAGGTGGCAATGGAACAAGTATGCAGAAAGAAGATAAATTGGCTATATCAACATATCCATTTTCTTGCCTACAACGGCATATTTACAGAATGATGAACTGCAGTGTTCACATTATTTACTCTATGCAGGCCGAAGCCAGACTGTAAAAGAATGCAAGTCTTACCAATTATATCCTCTCCATAAATATGTGTATTATTGCCTCCCCTAAATTGACCCTGCATTATTTATATGAAGTATTTTCTTTCCTAGAAAAAAAACCCCTTCATATAACAGATTCCTTGAACTGTTACTGCAGTAGTCTTAAAATCTTGCTGAGGAAACCTTCATATAGTCTTTTATAGCCTAATGTAAAATTTTATGTTATGAAATGTTATAAAGCCAAATAACCCATTTTGGATTTTAAGGTGTGCTTATGATATAGCCTGTAGGTGGCAGCTGTGCCTGCTTTGTTAGTTTTTAGCTCAGCTGGAAAATACCTATAGAGATATTATATGTAAGAAACCACCTTTGATGTTAAATAGAGATACATGGCAGAATGAAATTGAGCAGAAACTCGTGGAATGTTATGGGTTTGCAGTCTGCTTTTGAAAATCAATGTGGAATCAATTTTTATAATTATTTTCTCAACAAGTCGTGTTATTAAATCAATGCAATTACGTTTGTGTATTGATGAATAGCAAGCACATAAAGTTTTGATCCTTCAGAATATTATTTATGGAAGGCTTGTTAGGTGAAAAAAAAATTCGGGATTGATCTTCACCAAACAGATACTAGGTCACACACTTTTTGAATTATCCTTATTTGTAGATTATGCATTTCGCTATTAGCCATGTTTAGCTGAAGTTCCATCTTTTCACAAAGCCCAGGTTGTTGTTGTTGTAGTAACATGTACCATAGATTCCTTTCAGTATGTTAAATATGGATGGACATTACTTAAAGCTAAAGTCCATGTGTTGCCCCATACAGTTGCTATATTAATGTTACCAAAATGACAGGAAAGTGGGTAATAATTGTTATGTCCTAGCCTCCTATTGGGCGAGCTGAGAGTGGGAGAATTGGAGCGCAGCGATTGGCTACCCCGCTTGACAGCTCGCTTATAAATAGTTGTCAAGAGGGAACAGTTCTGCTTGTTTTGGTTCTGGAGTTGATGTTGCATTAGATGGTTAATAAAGCCTTGTTGTTTGACTTACTGTCTTGCCTCAGTCATTGCCACCCATCGAGTATTTAATAATAATAATTTCAAAATAATAATTACAAAATACATAATTCAGGTGACTAAATATTAAATAAAGAATGTAATGCAGTTGCCTTAAATCCTTATGTAAAATCTGGATATGGCAAGTACGAACATTAGCTCTTGACTTTTCATTCCTGATCTTCACCCAAATCTTTTTTTAAGCATGGGAAATATATTTGTTCGGTATGAGGAATAGGAAGATAGAGGATAGACCTACTTAAGGTAGTTACCCTGAATGCTAAATTTTAAGAATGATATATAACTATTTTATTTAAAAGCAAGGAATTCTTCTCAATAATATGGAGAATTCTTGCATTAAGAGGGAGAGGTTCCCTGGAAGAATTCTGGAAGAACAATATGAAGTTTGAACCTGACTTGTGTAACCCTTTGGATTTAAGGCAAAAAGTGCTTTGGGATATATAGAGACAACATCTTTCAGCACCAGTGCCTTATATTGGATGGTGTGGCTGCTCTTCACAGCTCCAAAGCATCTTTAGCCAAGAATCACAATTATAGCGATAAATCATATTAGTTTCTTAGCGGCACATAATTTATTTAAACTCTGAACAAGTTATCAAGAACTGGCCTTGAAGATAATTCAGATCTTTTGAAAAATATGGGAGATTGACCAAGAAAAAAAAATTGAAAAAGGATTTTTAAAAAATTCAAAAGTTAAGGAAATATTTTTCAAACATAATTTATAACAATGTCTATTGGTTATAATAACAATGCTATTCCTAAAAGAAGCTTTTATTTGTATAAATGTCATTCTGGATTGAACAATCTAGAAAGTTAAAATATATTTCTGTTTAAAGCTACCTCTAGGGTTTTTTTTTTCTATTTTTTTTTTTTTGTTGTTAGCTCTTGGTTTTCTTTCTTTATCTTTATGGTTCACAGTTCTTTTCAGTCTTAAAAGTTTTGCTTCTCCATTAAAAAAAAATCAAAATCCTAGTGTCTCATGAGATCTCTGCATTGCCCATAGGCACTGATTGTGTTGACACAGCAGGCTCATTATTATTATTTTCCCCCCCTCTTACCTGCATTTGTTTATATATTCATTTTTCTCCTTCTCTTGGATGAGCTCTGTGCTGGTCAAATGCAATACAACCTGTACTTGTTTTTGTGCTGTGTCACATTTCCAGTGACCTTTATAAATGAACAAAATCTTGAAATTACCATGCTATGACTAATGCTAAGTAACTTTAAAGCTTATACTCTCCCTCCATTTTTTGCTGTTTTGCAGAGAGGTGATCCCCAAAGGTAGTTTGCTTCTTATGAATAGGGAACTTGATTTGTGAATAGTCAGAACAGCACTGGATCGTAAAGATAGATTTTGGATAATAGGGGAAAAAAACACTGGTTTCTAATTAAGTATAAATGTGATATAGTACACTTGTAACTAGCTTAGTATAACTTAAAAAGTTTCCCATAGCATAAAAGCCAGTTGAATGATACTTGTACTTCTTTGATGAGCCGAGGTGGCGCAGTGGTTAAATGCAGCACTGCAGGCTACTTCAGCTGACAGTTCGGCTGTTCAAATCTCACCGGCTCAAGGTTGACTCAGCCTTCCATCCTTCCGAGGTGGGTAAAATGAGGACCCGGATTGTTGTTGGGGGCAATATGCTGACTCTGTAAACCGCTTAGAGAGGGCTGAAAGCCCTATGAAGCGGTATATAAGTCTAACTGCTATTGCTATTGCTATTGCTATTTGCTTTTCTCTCTTCTAGCATTCTAGCATTCAAAAAGTATAGGTCTGGGATGGCAAACCTATGGCATGTGTACCATAGGTGGCACGCTGAGCCCTCTCGGTGGGCATGTGTGCCGTTGCCATCTGCTCTTCTGGTTTCCAGTATTCGCGGGTGCTGGAGTGCTGGAAAACGGCCTGAAAATCAGCCAAAAAATGGAGGCCACTCATTTGGAGAAGATGTCTAAATGCGAATTCAAAAGCTCATGCTGTTTTCTTAAAAAGAAGAAAAACACCAAAGATTTGGATGAGGATGCTGCTTTTTAAAGGAATGCTTAGTTACAATCATTTAGACTTCTAGAAAAATAAAAGATGATATAGTACAATGATGGCAAACCTTTTTGGCACTGAGTGCCAAAAAAGTAGTGCAGAAATATCGCTTGCGCACCTGCGTGCTCGTCGAGGCCATGCTCCGGAAAAGCCAAACTTCCAGGTTCTAGCACGCATACGTACCTTACGATCAGTTGGCCGGCATGCATATGCAGGCCGATTTTCGGCACTGTCACACACGCGAAGGGATCGGGCTCCAGGTTCTGGCGTTCATGCACACCTGAAAATCAGCCGGCCGGCGCGCATGTGCACACCGGTTTTCTAGTTGATCGTTGTGCACATGTCCGTGCCAGAAACCCATAAGACAAACAGGCAAGGCTGTGAGTGCTGGACAACATGGCTTTGGGCACGTGTGCCATAGGTTCGCCATCATGGGTATAGTAGTATCTTTTAGGTTGTAAACCAGTGACTCTGGATTTTTTTTATTTTGGAAGATAGGAGGGAGTGAGAGGTTACCACTTGGTTACTGCCTTTTATGCATCTAATAAACACTCCAAACACTTTCTTCTACAATGCTGTAAGAAGTTTAAAAGTGTAGAGATTCTCAGTCGTCATGGTTGTCCCAAAGGTGCTTTTTCAGGAGGCAACTGGACTTTCTTGTTGTTTTTTTCTTTTGAAGATGTTTTGCTTCTCGTCTAAGAAGCTTCTTCAGCTCTGATAAAATAGTGTCTTTCTTCCATTCACCACTATCCTGTCAGAGCTGAAGAAGCTTCTTGGATAAGAAGTGAAAGGTCTTCAAAAGAAAAAAGTCCAGTTGCCTCCTGAAAAAGCACCTTTGGTATAAGTTGTTTAGCATCTAGCATGGTGAAGGCTAACATTTCCATCTTTGTTTTTTAGAATTAGTGTAATGCATGGCTGAAAGAAATAAACTCATAGTGGAAGTCTTTTTCAGACAAAAGGAGAAGTCTGATTTCACTCATTCACTCACTTACTTTATATGGCTGCCTATTTGCCAAGCAACTCTTTCACTCTATTCAAAGAGGCTGCCAAGTTTTCTAAGAATGTAGTGCCAGACTTTTAATACAGGTACGGTTACCTGTTTGTTATGCTTGATTTGTCCTATTCTAGAACGAGCCCTGTTTAGCACTAGGTTTGTTGCTTGGTATAACTTATGTATTAACAAGATTTCCAACCCATGTTTTTTTTTAAAGTCCTTTGTAGAAACAGTATAATGAAAACAAAGTATGGATTAAAAGAGAGAAAGCTGCTGGCTCCTTCAACCTCTTTATTTTTAATCATAAGAACAAAAATTCATTGTTGCTTCTATCTCTGTTTAGCGTCAGTTAAAAACAGGTTTGTTAAACTAGGGCATTCAACAGAGATTTGTTCTGTTTTAATTTAAGAGAAGGATCATGCTAGATTAGGCCCAAGAATGAGCTAAATAGCCCAAATGAAAAAGCAAACTAGCGCTGACAAATTTAATTTTCAACACAGTCCTTCAGAATAGCTGTAAATTAAGGGTGTTTTTTTAGACAAATGCTTTTTTCCCCAAAATGCTATTTCCATAGTTTTCTGATTATTATAGAAAGAGATTAGTGAAAAAATATCTATTAAATCTGCGTAATTTACATCTGTATGTCATGCAAGCTAAAATAACTTGCATTCTTTGCTGGATAAACTGTGTGAGCTTTTTTTGTGGACATAATTGTAATTCTCTGATTGGCAGTTTCTAAATTTATATGATTAAAATTGAATTTTTATTCTCCATTGCTGTTGAGGCAGAAGCCAAATGTCACTTTCCGTGATATAACTGTGAGGCACATTAATATGCTTCATTGTAGTTTTTCATTTCATTTTAGACATTTTCATGCATTGATTGGACAGATTCTTGCAATAATTACAGCCAAATATTTGTAGGCAAAAGATTTTGCTGATGACTCTGTGAATCTTTGAGAATTGTCACTATTCATCTTTCCCATTTTCATTAAAGATACAAAATACAGTAAATTAACATTAAAAATTAACTCTCCTCAGAGCAGAAATATCATGACAGTCGCTTTATAGCATATTCATTGACAAGGCAGGAGAACATATATTGTATTGATGTGGAAAAGATCAGTACAGATGAATACAGGAAACAAATGGCATCTTAGAAATTGCTCTCTTACAACAAGATTCTAGAAGTAGAGAAGACCTATTGATATATACGATAAAAATAATTCATACTTTGGAACTCTGTCAACATGAATTACTTGTTATTTGTTTCTTATGCTGTTCCATTTTTATTTGAGAGTATAATTCCAATTACTGGTTGTGATCTTAATCGCTTGCCGCTATCTACCTCCCTTTAACAGAATCTTTTGAAGAATCATTTTAAAACCATATTGAAATGTTAGTCAATTTATTCAAGTTGACTTTCCATTTCTTATCAATTTCATAAGTGTGTTTTTTACAGCTGTTCTCTTTCTTTCCATCAACCAATAATATAGTGCAGAATTTGAATGAGAACATTATTTTTTTAATCTTAGCTGTAGCAGTTGGTTAACTTTGAATCAAAATATTTAATTGATTAACAAATCCATTTTTTCTTTTATTATCAAAAATGTGTATTCCTCAGTAGATTAGTTAGATTGCCACATCAAGTTGAGGGAAGAATTGTAGTGATAATTCAGAAGCTTCGATACTGCTCTGACTGATATAATCTATGTAAATATGAAGATAGACTTTGAGAAATGTCCATGAAGATTCTCAGTCATCCATGGTTGTCCCAAAGGTGCTTTTTCAAGAGGCAACTGGACTTTCTGTTTTTTCTTTGAAGACATTTCACTTCTCATCCAAGAAGCTTCTTCAATTCTGACTGGATGGTGGGGAATGGAAAGATTTATATTCCTTGCAGACAGCTGGTCATTTGCATTTTTAGAGAGTTGTTGAGGCCACTAGGAGGTTAATTGTCTCATCAGGGTCACCTGAGTAGTGCAAAGAATGCAAATGTCTTCAAGGAATACAAATCCTTCCATTCTCCACCTGTCAGACCTGAAGAAGTTTCTTGGATGAGAAGTGAAACGTCTTCAAAGAAAAACAGGAAAGTTCAGTTGCTTCTTTAAAAAGCACCTTTGGGTTAGATTTTGACAAAAATGCAAAGCCCATCAATTTAATTAGTGAGAATTTTCCTTGATTGCTCTTTTATGAAGTTTCTGTTGGGTTTTGGCAGCCTGTTGTGATCATTTCTTTAAAAATTGAATTACCTTCATGAATATTTGAAATATGTTGCTTGGAATGTTTGTTTTTCCACAGCTAACAGATCTATTGAAGTGAAGAGCGAGAAAAATTGTTGATATTCTAATTTTGTCTCTCTTTTTTAATACACATAATTTCCTCCCACTTGAGTTGGAGTCTGAACCATGGAAAGGTGCATTATAGTAGCTTTTGCTGAGTTCACCTGATTTACCACCTCTGTTTTTCCTATTTCCTATTTTTAAGCTTATTATTCACAGCACCATTCCATTCATCTCTGCAGGTCCGGAGTAATTACAATGCAGGCACTTTCTGAAGAAGATCGAAGGCTGTGGATGGAAGCAATGGATGGCCGAGAACCAGTAAGCAAGAATCTTTATGAATAGGGATTAAGTAGGATAATCAAAAGAACCGTTCATGGTTTGGGTTGCAGTTCTTTCTCATTGGATGTCTTATGGCAGCTCTGTAGTTTTTGCAGAAGAATATTTTGAATCCTTTGGTAGAGTCCTTGAAGCAATATTCCATTTTCCTTGCAAGCCAGCATTAAAGCTTTCCCTCTGAGTATTGTTAAGAAAATTCAGTCTATAGCTCAGAGTAATCCAGATATGTGCTGTATATTTTCTGTAAAAATATGAGAGATAAATCATAATTATTAGACAAATAAATAAAATATATCTGTCTTCTTAAATGGCCACAGTGGGAATTAATGTCTTTAAAACTTGCTAATATCTGTAGGAGCACCCATTTCATTTTCAAGTTTCTATAGTTTGCTTCTGTGGTTGGTGGTTATTTTTTTCTCAATTAAAAAAAACAGTGTTACATGCCAAAACAACTGGACACAGAGACAGTTTTTTTTTCATCATGCCATCATTCTGCTGAACACCTAATACAGTACTGTCTTATGTCTAAGTATATTTTCTTGCTTAGTATACTGTAGCTGTATTTCTTTTATTCTTTTCATCTGATCCACTAACTTCTATTATTGGTATCATTATTATGATTACTTTGTTATTATGATTATGATTACTTGGTTTTTTGCATGTATCCTGAAAGCTAATGTGCTGGGAGACAAATTCCTTGTGTGTCTAATCACACTTGGCCAACAAAGTGTTCTGTTCTGTCCTGATATAATTTATGTAGAACTCTTTTGGGTCCATTCCCATAAATTGACTTTGAGTTCTTGCACCTAATTTCTTTCAATAAGTGCTGCTGTCTGTGATGTGTTACAATACATTGCGATGAGAAGACCTGGATATGCTTTTACCTGTTAGGTTTGAGACCTTTCTCCAGAATAATAATAAAATAAAATACTCAAGAGTCAACCAAGAAAACTAGCCGTAAAACATTTGAACAAATTTTCAGAAGAGTGAATCTGTTACCCGACAAGCAATCACAGCTAAGAGCATCAAACCATGACAAGAGGGTGAAAACACAGAAAATTCCAAGCCATTGGCATATAGACTGCAACATGTCTATGAATATGGATAAATATGTGTGATTTGTGCCAACTATTTGGGAATCACCCCTCTCTCTGCCTTCACTCCCCCCAATCCATGATTGACTCTGCTAAAGAACAACTAAGCAGCCATAAATCATCCTTAATTGCCTGATCAATGCTGAGAGGTATTTGGAAAACCAGAAGGAATGTCATCAAATGTTAACTCTGTGAGACAACTTCCCCTCCGGAACCAAGTCCACTTAGAAAAAGGTAGCTGATACAGAAATCTCAGCCTTGATACTTTGCCCAGGGGTGGGAGTAAGAAATGGATGTAATTGGTAGAAAAGAGGGCAGTGGGAAGGAGGAGCAGCCCTTTCACAACTGATATTATATCACATGAGACTTCAGGTTGGATGTTGCATTGTCATTGTTGTACTGCTCTTTTATCCAGCTCTAATACATCTACGGCTAGATGTATAATATAGTAGAAGAAGCCACAAACATAGCAATGCCTGTTGAAGATGCATAATTTAGCATAGGTGGCTGTTAGCAAGAGCTGCCAATCTGAGCAGCTGGCATTCTGCTTCAAAAAACGATCATCAGCACTGCAGATGAAAAAAACAGCAGCGTGGTGGAAAGGAATCCATGCTTTTAATATATTTAAAGCTCTGGAGTGATTTATTACAGAGAACCAAACCTTCCCCGGCATGATGCTAGCCTATATGCTAACTGTGCAAAAAAGTGTAATCATTTAAATGTAGCACATATTTATTAATTTATATGGAAAGAGTGGAAAGGAAAAAAAGTTTCCTCCACCACCTTTCGTGCATTGTAAATAAAGTAGGAGCAGAAAATACTTTTAAATCAACTGATTGCTTTGCATCAAGGAATACTGTGCTTCTCCAATCAAATTAACATATGCCAAATGATTTCACTGTTTGTGAATATAAGAGTTTATTCTTTTACTGTAGTGCAGGGGTGTGAAACTCAAGGCCCACGGGCTGCACCCAGTCCACAGGGTGCTTAAATCTGGCCTGTGGGACTGGCCTGGAAATAGCAAAGGACTGGCCCGTGGTGCCTCTGGCAGCCAAAATGGGACATGGGGGGGCACATGAAACCCCCCTCCCCATTTTCAGCCTGGATAGGCTCCTGCAGCAGTTTTCTGACCAAAACGGGGTGCAGGGGGGCCATGCAAGCCCCCCTTGTATCCTGTTTTTGGCCTGGATGGGCTCCCTCCCCCCACAGCTGGCCCACAGAGGATAACTACAATGCTGATCTGGCCCTCTAAGAAATCAAGTTTGACACCCCTGCTGTAGTGTATAAACAGGTCTTGGTAAATATATTGGCTAAGTAGATGACCAAATGGTATTTTCCCAAATTAGGACTAACTTCATAAAAGTTTCCCCTTCTTTAAGTAAAAGTAAAAAAAAAAATCATACAGTATACCAAATGACTTTCAATTGTCAAAGATATCATCACCTCAGCTTTATGGGTTGGCCCTCTGCAAATTACCAATCCTTCTGAAAACTGAGGAGATTGATGGGGAATAGGGACATCAAAAACATTTAGTTCTGCTGAAAGAAAAAGAGAATAATGAAGAGACTAAGCAATCACCCTAATCATCCAGTGGCTGATTTTTTTCCTTAAACATCTGGTACCAATTGCACCTTGGAATCCTGATGCTGGCTTGGCCAGAATCTTTACTTCCTAACAGAGTGTAGTCACTATATTCTTGTATAGAGTGTTAACTTTGAATGCATTGACTGTTTATTGTTTTGTATATAGTTAGCTCTCTAAACATTTATATGGCTGCTTTTCATTTGCGTTGAACATTCAGGAAATTGCTTCAGTTATATGAAGTGTATCAGATTTAAAGATCTCATAAGGATATAAACACTGAAAATTAGTGAAATATTATTTTTCTTTAAGGTTTGTGAATGCTGTGGTCTGACATAGCTTATTTTTTTTTTTTACTCTATATCAGTGTGCACAAACTTTTAGAGTCTCAGGAGGGGTGTACTTGGAGTTAGGCAAGGAAGCTAGTAAAGTCAAGAAAAGAACTAGATTTATTTCTAATTTAAAATACAATTAAAATTAAATCCCCCAAATATTTAGTGCTGGTCTCTTCTTCTAATTAAAAATAATACTTTAGCAGTGATTTTTGGAGCAGTTCTGGAGGCCATTTCCAAGATTTGGAGGAGGGGATTTATGTCTTACTTTGGATTCTCATGTTCTGTGTTCTTTGCCTTTATAGGAAGAGGCAATCAGCTGCTTATTTAAATTATATTTAGTGTTTTTTTTAAAGATCCAAACTGTCAGTCAGGGCACAACAACCTGCATTACTTTTATGTGACTTATATCTAATAGGTTTTAATATGTTTTCTGAATTAAAATTCATTGTTCCATGAATATTAGAATACAAAAAGCTTCTTCTTTCCAAAATAATTTTAATTGACTGACTGCTGCTTAGAATTAAAAGAATTACTACCCACAAATCCCAAAATGTCTTAAACTGAAAAACTAGAATTAGAACCTGCTCATATGTCCGGCTCATAAGTATTCAATTCATTTTCTTTCCTGGATCTGCATGTTGATATTCAGTTGACTCACAATCTGTAAGAGACAGATTGGTGCAAATTGATCAGCTAAAATATTGTCTTAATGCAAACAGTAATAGTAGCTGCATCATAAATGAAGAGTATGAAATAAAAGAATTGAAAAATAATTCAGAATTTTCTGTGGCAATTTAATTTCCAATGGAAAATGCTGAAAATCTTTTAAACTACAGGAAATGATGAGAGAAGCACCTTTAATTATTTTTGTTTACCTTGTCTCTTCAATGAAAGAAACTCAAAGCAGACCTAAAAACTTAATATAGAGCCAAGTACTGTAAAACAATATCAGGGTGTACACTGTGCTGATGTAAAATTTCTTATTTTCCCTGGCAGACAGTGTGATGTAAGATCCGCAGTTTCTAATTCACCTATTGCAACGCCTACTAGGAAGTTTACTAGGAAGTAAATACTTCCTGTATGGAAACAGGAAAGAAAAACAATTTTATGGCTCTCCTCGTCTGCTCCATAGCGCTCAAAAGCTGTTCTAGAACAGTTTGTGATTGCTGAATGGGGAACTTTTTCTCCTCAAATCCTACATCATGTCCTGTATCGACAAATCCGGTAAAATAAAACTTCCTGTTTCTTCTGAAGGTCTAGCACAAGTGCGTTGGTTTTTTGTTTTTTTTGGAGCCCAGGAAAAAGCTTGATTCAAACAGCTGTGGGCTGATGAAACAAGAGTTACACAAAACAGACTACAGAGTCAAAATCGCTCCCAAGGAGCACCATAGAACATTTTGTCCACTAGGTGGGGAAATGCTCCTTGCTGGTTCTGTCTGCTGATCCTGTTGTGAATCCCTGGAGAATTTTTGTGTCAGGGCAGAACTTCATATATAATTTTTTTTTTAAAGCCTGTTTCCTAATTGAAGTCATACATTAATTTTGAAAGAAATGGGAGGCTTTACGTTTGAATTTTTGACACTGCAGTATTACACCGATTTTCTTTAAAAAGAAAAAAGAAAGGAAGTGCCACGTTTATTTTCTCCAGTCTCAGTCATGGAAAATGTCCTTTCAGCAGAACCTGTTAATGCATCTGGGACACAGTGGAAATCCTCTGCTTTTTCCCAGATTCAAGAATTTTTCACAAGACTTCGGTTGCTATGCACCACTTGCAGTTCTCATCTCCTGGTTTCCTTCCATGAGTAAATGACCAGTGGCTGATGAGAACAGACTATCTGTGTGCGCACAGCTGCCAGCCTGTCCCTTGTGCCCCGTTTCCTCTAACGAAATTTCTTTGGCTTTTAGAGCCTTTCTACTGCCACTTGAGTTGGAACTCTTCTGATCTTGCAGCTGCTGGCCTGCTTTAACTCTAAACTGGCAGCCCAGCATTATTTCTCTGTTACTTATACCACAAATCGAACGCAAAACACATTACAGGAGCACAGAACATCAACAGATCAAGGTGAAAGCTTTCCCTTACTCCCTCCCCCCATCCCCGTCATTTAAAGTGTCAAAAAATATTCCACTTGCTCAGAATCGTCAAAGCTTACCAAATAGGGAATGATTTCTGAATGTTTGCATTTGCAGGAATGTATCCTTACCAACTTTTTTTTCCTCTCTTTCTCCTTTGCAAGCTTTCCATCCCCCCCCCATCCCTTCTATTCACTTATTTACTTCTGCCAACTAGTTTTTTTTTTGTTCACTCCCTTTGTTTTTGTTAAAACGCTGGCAGCCCAAAAGTTAGATGAAGAAACAGATGCAGATTCCCCCCCCCCATGGAACCTTCCCTCATCTGTTTCAAAGAGGAGCAGTGTGAATTGGGCTCTCTGGAAGCAATTGCTGCTGGACTTACATGTTGCCATGGTGACTTGTTGTCATTATATTAATGACTCTGAACTCCTCTCCAATGTTTTTGTGACTTTTCACATGGCCATATTATCTTTCTTTCACTTGGCGTACATGGGCCTAGTAGGTATGATTCTTTTAATATGACCCCAGGTTGCTCTGTGTGTGTGTGTGTGTGTGTGTGTGCGCGCGCGCGCGCCTGCATATGAGTTTGTAGAATGGGTCATGCTTCAAGTCTCATTCAAGAAATCTGAGCTGACATTTAGTTGACTTGCTTAGAATAGTAATTCATAATTCTAAACCCCCTGTAGAATAAGCACAGTGGGTCAAATGGAATTTATCCCACTGAGCAGATTAGAAGTTCACAGGGCTGAAAGTAGATGTAGAACAATAAATAACACATGAGCTTTGAGAGCAATTTACATGTATGCTGAAATGGGTTTCTGAATTGCTGTAATGAAGATGCCTTTCTTCTTTCCCCTTCCCCGACAGTGGATCGGGAGCAGGGGGGGGGGATTCCAGAAAATAGTCAAAAGTACCTTATTTTCCCAGACTTACAGGCATCGATG